ATAGGTCATTGTTTGTTCAAATATGCTCCAGTTTAGAAGAAGTTTTCCAAGCTCACCGAAACCGGCGGCTTGGTTCATTAATAGTTTTCATGCTATTCTCATGAACACGTCAATAAAAAAGGGTAGTGAAAGTAAATGCAAATCTAAAGAGACAGAAAAATACATGTTTCACTTGGTATAACCACATCAAAAGAGCTTTTGGCATCCACTACAGATAAAATGACTAAAATTTCCTTTTTCATTACCATTACATGTTCTTTAATCGGAACTTCGTCACTATATACTCTATTACCTTCTACGCATTGACTGTTACTGAGATGTTTTTGTACCACTGGTGCTTTAAAAAGTTATCAATAAAAATTCACGGATCCGAGGTGCGGCGGTCGCACTCGCAAAATCGGCCCGGTCCCACACGGCCAAAAAAGCCAAAACGCGCGCGGTCGTCAATGTGTTAATTTCAGCTGCGCGCTATCACCAGGAATATCAAAACTGAAGTGACATTATTTCAAATTTTTGCACTATCAGTGATCCTTTTGCTTTGCGGCAGACGATTCTAACTTAATTGCGAGGGGAGGAGGCGGTCGTCAGAACGTAGCACGATGATCGACTGCGCCTTTCAGTGGGACGGTGTAAAGACACACTTTTCACTCTTTCACGCACTTCAATTGGCCTGTGATAACCCAACTGGAACTACTTAGCTTTCCCATGGCCCGTGGATTCCTCCGTTCTCTCAAATGTTATCACTGACTCGCTGAGAATGCTCATCTGAGCAGTGATTACATCGTGTCGTAGACTGCTCCCGCCGCCCTCCACCTCTCCCTAACTTTTACGTATCCGCCAAATGACCTAGTACATAAACTTGTGTCATTCGTGTGAATACTTGGAGCGCTGAGCGCGATACACTCCAGTGGTGTTCCTATTTCATTCTTCTCAAGGCAGCCCCCATATGATCCAGAGCTTGCGGAAACTCCATCCATCTAATTCAGAATTCCTGAACGACTGCTGTAGCCTCCCTGCGACACGATTTTTTCATCATCTGCCAGTTAAAACCGTTAATTGTCACTTGTCCCGCCACGATCTTTGGAACTGAAGTCTGTCGTTCTTAAGAAGTTCTAAAAGGGACAGAAACACGATACACCAATATTTCCTACCTGCACTGTCGCTTTAAACTCAGAGTTTTTTGCTCTTTTAGAGGACGCGCGCATTTTTTGATTTAGCAAAGTGTTGCTGTTCGAGTAATGAAGGCCTCCCTTCATAATGGGAATTTGGTGATCGACAGAATTTTTAAAGCTCTTCGCCATGGTGAGGCAAATACCTGGAAATGTAGAAGAGAAGCATGGAAGGGGGAGGATATTTTTTGGACTTCAACCCGTATTTTGCAATTGCTGTATGTAAGTGTTTCAGCATGTAATTTTGAGGCATAACCCACGATCACGGTCAACCGTCCGCCCTTTCGGCTTGGAAAATTTTCGCGATTCCCCGTACGCCCCATGCGGCAACCTCCCTCTCCATACTGCACCCTTTCTCACCATCATCACGCCGAATTCTATCGTATTCACTTCAGAAACCAGTCGACACTCTCCAACTCCGCCCACTTCTTTCTTATGAAACGTCTATCGAGTGAAGAAGGCGGGCAGGGGGTATGAATTAAAGAATCAGCAGACGATCTATAATAGTTTTGCTCATTTCATAGCTTTTTCAAACGAATTTCGCCAAAACCATTGCAAGCCCCATTACCCTGTAATCCCAACATTCAAAACCAAAGAAAACTCCGTGCTTTTTTCCTTTATCGATCCCACTGCTCTTACTCGTGCTGTCATCTTTCTTCCTCGTCGTAGAGAACAGAACTTTTTCAATTTTAGCGAAAAATCTTCTCAATTTCTGTCTCCCTTCTTTCTTCATCGGCGGTCCAATTTGGTTATCTCTGCTCACATTTTCGGACAGAAGACCGCACCAGCTTAACCATAGGTCATCCTCTGATGTAATCGTTATATTGACTCGTAGGGAAGGAGCTTCATGGTGAATAAAGGATAAAGCATTTGCCGTTGATCAATCCCTTTTGGGATGCGGCACGCATTCTACTTCCATTTGTACATTCGTAGTGGCGTTTGAATGCGATGTGGCCTATACAATGACTTGCGGGGCCAGCCGATGTACAAGTCAGTGTTTTTATCCTCCCAGACAAGTCTGGTACCAATTAACCGACCCCGGAGGGATGGAAGGCTTGGTTGGCCCGGGCGACTCAGGATTTGATCCCCGGACCGCTCGCGTGGTAAGCGTGCCACTTGTCACTACACCACTTCCGCCCTTCTAAGTTGACTTCACGCCGAAATTGCATTTGAATTTTCGTTGTCGCTCGTGTGAACATCGAAATTTCAAAGACCAAACAATGTTCTGATGATCAGCGATCAATCCTATTCATTTGTTTTTTGATTCACAACGAGCTTCTGCAAATGAGGAGCACTTTATATGCATGTGTAATCGGCCGCGTATCTACACAGTAAGAATGCTCATCAAGTCCTGTGAAGCATGTAAGTGACACAGTAGTCGCCGATGCTCGTTGCTGATCTGATGCTCTGACTAGCATTGAAAATAAAAGGTGCACCAAAGAAATACTGAAAAAGAAATTATGGTTTGCAATCCGCGATTTGAAGTGTGCTCGTCGGATTTCCATATTTTTCTATCTGCAAAGGCAACAAACGTTCCATATAGCTTCTAGACGTGGTCGCTTTTGACGTGAATGCTAGCTAGTGAAAGCTGTGAGTATGCTTTTACGGCTTAGCGTTTTTTTTCACTCTTGCCTTATTCGATAACTTCTCCAAAGCTTCGTGGTGCAATAGGCTGTGTACTTGCGAAGGATTCAGATGGCCCCGCTTACGGAGAAGACACACACGCCATTTGGCACCAATCTGGAACACCAATGCAAAAGTTTGTCACTACCATGAATCGAGCATGGGACCACTTTGATCGCTAACAACTTCCTTGGCAGGTCCACGTAGCAGTTTTGGTGTTCACATTTGTAGCAATCATCTCAGGCTCTGTAAGTTACCTAGATCTCAACTCAAAGTTCCATGGGAATTTGAAACATTTTCTTGAATGGAGCGAGTTCCAGTCCCACAAAACAGATATCCAATATTTTCGTCTTGTAAGGCGGAAAGGTGAACCGCCGCCGCTTCAGGCTTGAAAATATCCTCATTGCAACCCGATCTTGCGTTGACACCATTGACGTAGACTTTTCAATGGTCTTTTAAAATGATAGCTGGCTGCTTGCATGGCAACAGGATTTCATTCCAATGCATCACGAAAAAGAAGTAGTTATTGGGAGAGGTAGCCAACACTGTCATCTGCCCGACTCGTTTCGAAAGTTCACGGGCTATACTAAGAAGATCCGCCGTGCTCCGCTTTTGCAAAACGATTTTCTCCTTTATATGAGGACACACGCATTGAACATGCAGCTAATCTTCATTTTTCCTGAGCGGCCCTCCGAACGCCAAAAGGTATGAAAATTTGGTTCGCGAGCGGCTTTGGATGCCATAGTACCATGAGGACCGCCGCCAACCTGTATGCGCAGATTTCTGCCGAATAGTGTCAAACCATTTTTGGCTTCAGAGGGCCGCTTAGGGAAGATTAATCACAGTTCTGTGCTCCGCGTGAGCCTCTACATCATGTAGAAAACCGATTCTGAAAGCGGTGCACATGCGGGACAACGTCGAATTTCTTAGGGAAGGGCAGAGGAAGGGTCATAAGAACTTTCGAAATCTGAATATGGGCTGTTAATTTTTCTCCTACTGCCTTCCCTTCCCAGGTGTGTAGAATTTGGAATGTTGTAGATGGTTGTTGTTTGATCTATTTCTAGCACGTTTCTGAGGCTCTATCAGGTCAAACATTGTTGATATTCTGGTCTATTCCAGTTAGAGGGGCATCATGATGCAGTTTCTCGGCGAACTAGTGTGAACTCGAACATTCCAGCTTTTCACGCATGTCAAGTGACTGCCCTCACCCCCCACCCCCCCACCCCCCTAGACTGGCTACACTCCCCCTGGCTCGGAGTTACCTAGTTTTTTGGTAGAAATGAATCATGCCCTCCTTCCCCTAAACGGCATACACCGTCATACTGCGTTCATTTTTTCGCGCATTATCGGTACACTACGTTGTTCAGTCATATGTGAAATTTGGTTTTAGAGCAGGTATGGACTCCGCTTTCATGATTGACTTGGTTGTTAGCACTCTTATCATAGCGACAGATTTACTAGTTATTTTCACCGCTATCAGATCAGGTGAAATACGACGACAACTCGTTTTGTATACCATTTTCCTTGCCATGGGCATGGATATCCTCGCACATTTGAACGACACGATACATGATTTTCCAAGCTATATTTTAAATGAAGATATCTTCAAAAGTAAGTTGTTATGAGTGCTTAGTTTCCTTTTTGTGTTGATCCAATAGGAAAGGATATTGAACTAACCAGGAAAGGTCATTTGGTCAACCCGGCCATTTGAAATGAGATGTATATGTGTATACGCGCCTTGGGACGCTGAGCTCAAATATGTGTTCCTTATCTGCTGAACTCTTCTCTGAAAGGAATTATGAAGCAGAAAAGCGCAGGGGCTGTGGTCGAGGCTCACGAAAAAGAGGTCAGGGGATCAACTCCCTGGCGAGTTTGTTCTTTTGCCGTTTGCAGTAAGATAGCTAGGAAGGCTCCTAACATCGCTTGTCCAACATGCTTGCGTACACAGTGCGCGTCAATTGTATATGCCACCCCCTGATTTTTTCAGTTTTCTGACTTATTTGGAAATTTCGTAAATCGGCATAGCAACCATCGTTTTCGGCGTGTCGGAAAACTAAGAATGGTGTTGTTTGATTTTGGTTAACGCGTGGATTTGAATTGCTCTGTTCTTTTGAAGAAAATGGGCCGCGTCAATTGCTTATGCCATCCTAAAGTTTCTTCAGAATTTCTCATGTCTCTAACGCTATTCAGCTACGGTGTGCATGTAATACAAATGAGGAAATCCTCGACTCATGCAATGCACACAAATGGTGAAGCATTTATAACTGATTAGTTCGGAATATTAGCCTTTATACTGGACGGTAGCGGCATGAAAACGCTTTATCAGAGAAACAGCTGTGTGCTCACTAGTACGATCGCTCCTGCTGCTTGTTGTAGAACTCAATCGAGGAGTGTATCCAGGCAAAACTGGGGAAATTGAAGTGCTCAAGGAGCTCTTAAATTCTCATTTTCCCGCTTCGAATCCGTGGTCAACTTTTATTTGTGGTCTCGGCTCCCTGCGAAGCTCGAAGCGTTCACGCTCACAAAGTCTCTGTTCAGAGAGAATATGAGTTGCACTCACAATCCGCGTAGTACCCATCGCCGAACTTGTTGTTTTTGTTGATTTTGTTATTTATCACAGCTTGTCGATTTCCTCTGAAAAATTTTCGTACAGAGTGAGCGAAAAATGCTGCTGCTCCACGTTTGTAACTCCGCAACGCGCCCTGAAGTTGGCAGCTCCATCCCATTGCATCCTTTGATACAGAACTTCGATCGATTTCATGATGGGTACCAAACGGATATTAGGTACGAGTCATGTTCTCTGTAGACAGAGACTTTGTGAGGGTAAATGCTCTGAGCTTTGCAGGGAGCTAAGAATCTGGCGTACGACACTTTACGGAACCCACCACCCACGTGAGCAAGAACGGCTAGTCCAACAGCTACTTCTACACTAAAACTCTCTCTTCGGTAGGCGCCTGATTGATTGCTTATCCAAACAATGGTGCAAACTTTGTGCACCTCGTCATCACTCATCACTGATTTGAGAATGATCGACACTACAGTGCTTCAAGTAAAGAAATGTAGCTTCCACTAGCTCGCCACTTCTACGCCCCTCCTCCCTCCTCACTGCGAACTCGCGAGCAGTTCGCCAGTTTCACGGAAGAACCAACACGTTCCTTGTCCGCCGAGGACATATGTGATGCAATGTCGTTTACCTAGCCCCTCTGTCCACCAGAGCCCACGACGCCGCCTCATAACCCTCTCATGTGCGCCCCTGTGTCCCTCTCCGAACCTCCGAATCTCACAACGAAAACAGTTGCCAATGCAATTCTCGACTCGGGTTCCACTCAATCGTACATCACAGGCAAACTAGCACACCCCCTTGACCTCCAGAATATGCTTCCCGAAGAAATCTCTGTGTCAACACTTGACACTACGACTTTCCTCCAACTGAATTTGAAAATCAATCGTGGCTCAGAGGAGATATAGAGAACAACCTCTGAAATCCTCTCATTACTCGACAGACATCCGGGACGTGCTCATTTCCATTTTAAGTTATACGAAAGGGAGACGTATTATTGGCACGCAAGCCATCAATGTTGATTGTGAATGACTACTTAGGGGCATCGTTTTATCAGACGACTTTCGCTACGAAACGCTACCGAATTGCTATCGACACACTATACACACCAGTATCGGAAACATTCTCGTAGGCAATTGACTATTCTAGGTAATATCGCGGCATGCACTTTCCTTAATGTAGAAGGCGGTCTCACCCATGTAATTCCTCCACTTCTCCCCTCCTTGATCTACAACATATCCACCTTCGATGCTACCGAAACTACATAGAACGCCACCTAGTGATTGAAAAAACGACGACAACGGCATGCCAACTAAGCCTCGGGCAAAAACTGCACTGACTGAAAAAACCTTTAAGCCAAGAGCCATACATTCCAATGGAAGCACTGGCTACAAAACAGAGCGTCACTAACAACATTCCCACCACCTCTACATGCGATTTCCTGTCCACTCCAACAGGTAGAGACGAAAACCATCACGTCGCTACTGAACTCTCCTCTACGTTTACCACCGCTCCCCGTCACTTCTGCATCACCTACTACGACAAAAAATCGAAAAAAACCGCACGCACGGTCATGTGCACCACCTTGGCCACTTCCGTCACCTTCATCCTCCTACTACAAAAATTCAAAACCATGACCCACACAGCCGCCTCTTCCAAAACCACCTCCTTCAATGGATTCATCTTCGAGACTCAAGCCTAATCCACCGACAATATCGTCCAAGCCATACAACTGCAGTTCCAGTCCGGCATTCACCAGATCAAGGACACAGCAGCAATCGAATTTTGCGCAATATGGAGAGAACGAAAACTCCTATTCCATCTTCATCGAAGAACATTCACATCTCCACAGCGTCTTTTCTGCGCTACGGAGATGCCGATGCTCCAGAGGTATCTGGGCATCTCACGACTGGACGTCGTTTGCAACGAAGTGATTCGACGGCACATGGGCGCTGCGCCTTTCACACAGAAAACGAGAGAAAGACGAATGCAGTAATACGGCTACGTCTGCACCTAACACTGTCGCTCGAAGTCGACGGCAAACGACCTCGTGGGAGACCAAGGCAGCGATGGCTGGACACGATCAACGAGGACATGAAAACTGCACAACTGCGCAGCGAAGATGCCCTGAATCGAACAAAATGGCGCTCTTCGATCCGAACAACGGACCCTACCCAGCGGGATCACCTTAAGAAGAGAGATCAGAAGTGCTCAACCACGAAGAAGTTTTAACAGAGACAAGCTTTCATGGTCAAGGTTATTATTGCTTTCTGCACCTGTTTGTTCTTGCCTTTGGAGTCTCTATAAAAAACTGATTGTTATCCATGGTTATCGGTGTGGTGGCATAACATCAAAAATGCCCTCGTGCTGGGTGTGTTTCAATGTACCAATTATTCATTTTCTTCTCTGCTCTTCCTCGTCCAAATAAATTTCTTTGGAATCGAGATTCTGAAACAGCCGGAAGCAGAGACTATGTTTGTGTTCCGACACTAACATCAAGAGTCGCTGAAATGAGCTAACACAATCACAGAGGTATTCAGCATTTCAGCTCCACAAGCGGCATTTCCTTCTATTCTCATCCTATGCGGCCAATGGTTCGGCCAGCTGTTTGTGCTGCTTGTGCTTTCCCTTATTCATTTTATTGCAATATTCTTTCCAGCTCTATTTCGTGCTATCTCTACGAAGAGCATTCATGTAATCAACCTTTCAGTTATTATGGTCAGTGTATTGCTTACAAGTGAGTAATTAACCAATTATCCATAAAGATTCGTGATTGAAATAGAAAAAAGACATCACAAGACG